GAATAACTGTGTGATTCATCAGAAGCTATTACATATCCTTGAATAATGTTGTGATTCATCAGAAGCTATTACATATCCTTGAATATTGTTGTGATTCATACATATCATTGTATATTGTTGTGATTCAGCAGTAACTATTACATATCCTTGAATATTGTTGTGATTCATCAGAAACTATTACATATCCTTGTATATTGTTGTGATTCAACAGAAACTATTACATATCATTGTATATTGTTGTGATTCAACAGAAATTATTACATCTCCTTGAATAATGTTGTGATTCATCAGAAGCTATTACATATCCTTGAATAATGTTGTGATTCATCAGAAGCTATTACATATCCTTGAATATTGTTGTGATTCATCAGAAACTATTACATATCCTTGTATATTGTTGTGATTCAACAGAAGCTATTACATATCATTGTATATTGTTGTGATTCAACAGAAATTATTACATCTCCTTGAATAATGTTGTGATTCATCAGAAGCTATTACATATCCTTGAATAATGTTGTGATTCATAAGAAGCTATTACATATCATTGTATAATGCTGTGATTCATACATATCATTGTATATTGTTGTGATTCATCAGAAGCTATTACATATCCTTGAATAATGTTGTGATTCATCAGAAGCTATTACATATCCTTGAATAATGTTGTGATTCATCAGAGGCTATTATATATCCTTGAATATTGTTGTGATTCATACATATCATTGTATATTGTTGTGATTCAGCAGCAACTATTACATATCCTTGAATATTGTTGTGATTCAGCAGAAGCTATTACATATCATTGTATATTGTTGTGATTCAGCAGAAGCTATTACATATCATTGTATATTGTTGTGATTCAGCAGAAGCTATTACATATCCTTGAATATTGTTGTGATTCATCAGAAACTATTACATATCCTTGTATATTGTTGTGATTCATACATATCATTGTATATTGTTGTGATTCAACAGAAACTATTACATATCTTTGAATGTTGTTGTGATTCAGCAGAAACTATTACATATCCTTGAATATTGTTGTGATTCATTACATATCCTTGAATATTGTTGTGATTCATACATATCCTTGAATAATGTTGTGATTCATCAGAAGCTATTACATATCATTGTATATTGTTGTGATTCACCAGAAACTATTACATATCATTGTATTTTGTTGTGATTCATACATATCATTGTATTTTGTTGTGATTCATACATATCATTGTATATTGTTGTGATTCAACAGAAACTATTACATATCTTTGAATGTTGTTGTGATTCAGCAGAAACTATTACATATCCTTGAATATTGTTGTGATTCATACATATCCTTGAATAATGTTGTGATTCATCAGAAGCTATTACATATACAACAATATTCAAGGATATGTAATAGCTTCTGATGAATCACAACAATATTCAAGGAGATGTAATAATTTCTGATGAATCACAACAACATTCAAGGATATGTAATAATTTCTGCTGAATCACAACAATATACAATGAATTCATCAGAAGCTATTACATGTCTTTGTATATTGTTGTGATTCAGCAGAAGCTATTACATATCATTGTATATTGTTGTGATTCAGCAGAAGCTATTACATATCATTGTATATTGTTGTGATTCAGCAGAAGCTATTACATATCATTGTATATTGTTGTGATTCAACAGAAGCTATTACATATCATTGTATATTGTTGTGATTCATACATATCATTGTATATTGTTGTGATTCATCAGAAACT